GGGCAGGTGTATACTTGCACCTTGATAGGCACGGGAAACATTCAATAATACAACTTCGTGTTAACTTAGAAGATGATATTTATTTAGAGGGCAACTAGATATTTACCTGGACAAGGCAACGAATTCCACCCCGATGAGACCTAGTGTAGTGTAGAAACAGCGGCAGTTGGTAATGTATACTCAAAGGATAACCAAAGCCAATAAATTTCTACAACTTTATCCTAACTAAATGTTGCGAAAAGGCTTATCGAGGCTGGTTTTGACAATGAGTGAAAGCAGCTTGGATGTAGATTTCTTCGCAATACTCAAGAGGTAATTATACGTAGCTAAGGCGAAAGAGTTGGAGAAGGCATCCGGCGATACAGTTATCAAGGTCTACTTAGAAAACTGGTTCGCTAATGATTATCAGCTGGGCTCACTGAGAAGGATGTGTCACTGGTAACGTCTACAGACATGCAGCTGTAACACATAAAAAGGAATTCGCCCACAACTACGCTCGTGTTACCAAACAAACGGGATATAGGTCCTCCAACTGCTCCTGTAATTGAGAGGGCTGCTACAAACCGAAAGCGACGTATGACAGAACAGCTCGACAATTTGAAACTAGAAATCCTCAAGTTTAATGATGGATCGCTAAATGAAGCAACTGGTCTACCAATCAGTGAATCGAAATCAAAGGTATTTTTACTAGACTGGTGAAGAAAACTGAGCATTCCAGTCCCTCAGAAAAGAAGACCGGGTGACAACACGAGATCATTTGGAATAAAATGTCCCAAACGGATAGCATTTACCTTGAAGTGGTTGTTAGTCTTTCGGGGCTGCGACTCAGTAGTTTAGGGAGATGATAATCAATTCTATATTAGACTATTTACTTCATGTAGCACACCGCAAAACAATATAATTTACTGGATGACGTTTGAAGCAGAATTTACTGCTTATATTCATATCAAAGTAGTAGTATGAATATAAGCAATGAACTCTGCGTGAAATGTCACCCAACAGATTATACCGTCACAGTGTTATATCAAACAAGCAGTCGGATACGGAATTATACTCTACCGCAATTCCTTTGCATAGATGACTATAAACCACTTGGTTACATGTTCGAGCTCAGCCTTGCCACCTACCAGGAAGTATCACTAGTACTCAAACAACGCATGTGGTAGATTGCCTACTGTTCGGATGTGCAAAAGATGGCTGAGTGCGACACAGCTTTACAGCTAGTCTTTCATATCATAATGACACGACCTATGCTGGTGAAAATACTAATTCACTATTTGTTAGAGCACAACAGAAAGGTCAGTTAGATGGTAGTAAGAGGGAAAATGGCGGCCACTACACTGCAAAGTTCTTACGCTTCAATAATGAGGGCGAGTGTGAAAGCAGCAAGGCGTTTCCCATGAATAACGAGATCACCAGTATCGACTTGATGCTGCCTTTTTCAATATTAACGGTTGGAACAGGTCTTTTCACAATCTGTGCTTATTCAACCCAGTAACTGCAGCTAGGATGAAGCGAAGCACCAGTTCTACCAAAAACTGTCTTGCCTCCTGCTGAAAACCAAACGTCAAGACGTGGTTGTTGTCACAAGCACTTTCAATGCATAAGTCAGTAGGCTAGTTCAGGCAGAAAGGCACTCTCCTGGTAATTTCAGAATACCTACCGAACCAACACAACGGTGACCATATGTTACAACGGTACTCAGATAACCATGCTTTCTCGCCAGCAAGAACTTCAGACATTAAGATAAACACTCTCTGAAGCGGCGTTCACCAACCCCATATCGGCGGTGAGCCCAGGCATATCGATGGAAGATTTCCATCCCCTCTATGGAACCTGCCTGACCAGCTATTACGCGCATGTCTGTGCCAAAATGGACGCTAAAATGCCACAAAAGCAAGACAACAATAATACGACGGCATACGGTGAGAATCTGGCTAGACAATTATCAGAATAGGACAATGTAACCTGTTCAGAAGATGTCTGGCACCGCCTCCAGTTTGTTTGTAAGAGCAGCTACAAAGACCGTAACTGACTCTCAGAAAGTGGCTAGAAAGCGTTAATGGATCTCAACAGTTTCTTTGGAATTAATGAGTCTTCTCAAAATGAAGAACGAGTTCGAATTAAATGTAGACTGATATCTCAGGAACTAACTCACTCCCAAGGGGGATCTGGTTGACTTGCAGTAAGAAAGCATTCTTAAGGACGCCTTGGAAAGTAATTAGTCCGTGCATGATGCGTCTTGTACATGTCATGTCCAAGATAAGGCTTCAAGACCGGTTAACCTGGACATCTAGACTATTGATACAGAGGGAAGTAATGCAACGTACTAACTAATTCACTCAACTGGACAGCTCGCATGGGTTGATTACTGATGAAATTTCGGTTTGGCATTCGCCGGCTTAAGTTACATTCGATATTTCAAAAGATGAGTACACCGCTCAACAGCCAGATCTATCCCATAGTGCAGCTGAGAAACGTCCTTTGAAGAAAAAATTGCGGTAAATATTACAGATCTCTGACGACAAGTGCCTTCGAAGCGTTGCCCACATATGGCGGGATCACCATGTAAGGGTTATCAGGGTTAGGGTGGGGATACTAATCAAGACAAGGTCAGTGGACGAAGTTGTTAACCTTCACCGACCGTAGGGACTCTGACACGTGTTACCAATGCTAAACCTACCACAATGTGCAATGTTACCGGAGGTAGGATCAGGTTGAAAGGCTCAATGATAGGACCAAAATGTGTAGCTAGTCCTTCAAGGTCCTGACTGCCAACTCAATCCATATAGGCTGCCTTGGCTAGTCGAATAACTCGGAAACCAGTGGTTCAAGACTTTTGGTGATTAACTTTAATATCTTCCACAGAACCATACATATTTACTGTCATTGTTGAAATATAGGATACCTAACAACTCCAACTTTTAAAGCTATCTACTTAAACACCATTCCCCAGCTTGGTATCATTTCTTGCACCCCACTTTCACGTTGCATGCTGCTGAGAAGCAGGACAGTCCGAATTGATAAGCTTTGACTCCATTGTACCCTGTTCTCACACTTTCGTTAAGTCCATGAGACAGCAAAAGGGAACATAAACAGTAGTTATTATTAGACTAATAGTTGAACTACTTCCTCCGTCGCATTTTGTCCCTAAAGAATATTACCTTTACAAATACATGACGGTGCCAGATTGCAGTGTTTTAAACACTAAAGTCTTCACAACCTTTTGATATGATCCTAACATTACACAAGGCTTCATATAAGATATAAATAGAACCTGCAGAGCCTTAACAGAAAAGGAAATACAAACTGGTACAGATGTCCACTGTTTGACGTTACCACACTTCAAAGAAACATTTGAAGAAAGAATAGAATGACAATATGCAAGTAAGCTAAAGAACATGAGGATGAATAAAGAGTTTAATGTAAATACCAACCAGTCAGTACCAACACATGAATTGGGATAACCGTGTAACGACTCAGGTTGCTACACCTAGCTATTTTAGTGAGTCAAGATAGTTGGTGGCAGAGAGTTGTTAGGGGAACAAGAAACTAAATAATCAAATCCAGTGCAACAACCGAGAGTCTACGCACAGTAGTCAAAGATCGACTCCGAACCACTAGTCCTGAGGCAGCTTTTATCCTTTGAAATATAAGACAAGTCCTAAGACTTTTTAACTGTAACTCAATATCTTCACCTGAGAGAATTATCGTCTGCGTACCCTAGGTTCACGGAGTTATTTGTAACAAGACCAATTCCCTAAAACTTAGCAGACGAAATTGACCGCAGGTGCATCTACGGCAGAAGCAAATAAATGTAGACAGTGTGGTTGTTCTCGATGGACACTATCTAACACCAGAATTCACCTGACTATAAGTAGCCGGTAGGTTTCAACAGGGTGATATACTTGTCTTCCGCAACTTCTAGTGACATTGACACAAAACCTCTCGTTTGACGGAACTGACCAGGATAATCGATTTAGCATTAAATTGAGGCAAAATATATAACGTCTTTAACTAGCTACACATCAGTAAGCTTGCAAATACTTACACAACACACATCGATAGTCAGCTCTTATGCATCGAACCATCTTTCTAGTCAAGCTACATCAAGAAAACCCTCTGTCACTTTCACGTCGAGTAGTTGTACAGTAAAAGCTAAACATCACAAAACCATAAGTCCTAATAGTAGAAGCATTGCTCTCTGTGTGCTGTTATCGCATGGATCACTTTCCACTTACCATGATCAAGATAATTTGAAGAATACAATTCGTAGAAAGAATAAGCTGCACAGGATCTGTAAGCTCCACAAGAATCTCCCGATTTCCATTGAAAAGAACTGCAAAGCTACAAGCGATGGCTTGTAACTTGTACTAAGGGCTACACTTCACATCTTACACTAGGTCAGATATCGGGTTAGATTATTACACTCGCCCAAATCTTAAGTCACCACACTTTCTAGAGTAACAACCAAGTGTCTCATACGATACTTTGTCCTGGACACTTTCAGTTGGTTCAATGTTGGCATCCATGATTCTCACAAATATACCAATATGACGAATAACTGAAGCTGACATAAGGGTGAAAAGTATACAAAGTTCGAACGAAGCATACTTGGATAACATGCTAATTTGTCGAGTTCCGAATAAGTTATGAACATGTTTCCAAATTTCTTTGCAGCTGGAATCAATACCTTCATGAACTATCAGCAACTACCACTGGATGGTAGATTATACTAGATGATATGCATTACAAGCAGAGATGGCTAGCGGCACCAGTAATCAAAACGGTCAGTCTGAACACAAATAAGACAAAACTTTTCAACTTGCAAACCAACTCAATAGGAGTCACAACTAATTATGGCTTCTTAATGAACACTTAATTCTAAAGGTATCCTTTTCTGGATAATCTACAAATTACAACTAGGATTTTAGACCGGAAGGATTTACGGCTGAGAAGTAAAATCACTGATAAGTAATTTACGGTAACTCAGTGTTCGACACAAACAAGATTCGGGTATGACTGACGGGTATGACTCCGTTGATTAGGAGGGAAAAAACCCAGATCGTATCGTCTCAACACTACAAGTCCCCTCCTAAGCAGACCTTGTCGTTATCCTTAGGATTCGTATGCTAAGAATCCCAAAAATGGTTTATCAGTGACTAGCCATATCCTTAACTAGTACATCAGAGGTCTACTGATTAACGCATGACGACCCCGCATTTCAGGAAACAAACAAGGTACCAAGCTCATACACATCCATAAGATTTATTTGGATTACCACTACCGATTTGATTTTGCAACACGCTCCAATTCGTCCTTTTTCTTTATCGCATATGAATTTGAGCTACCCTACAACATCAAGATTACGTAAATAAAGTCATCTTACCTTCGCAGCATTCAAGAGTTCATCTGCGAGGCATTCGGAAATGGTTTTTACGTTCCTAAAAGCTGCTTCTCTAGCCCCAGTGCACAACAAGTAGATAGCTTGGTTGACTCTACGCAGGGGTGAGACATCCACAGCCTGGCGTCTTACAGTGCCGCCACGACCGATACGCGTAGAATCTTCTCGTGCCCCACTGTTTAGAACTGCGCTGACAAGAACGTGGATTGGGTTCTAAAATAATAAACTCTGCGATTAGTGGTGAATTTTCAGAAGATAAAAGAAATCGTTGTGGTCATACGAACGAGACAAGTTCATCATATTAATAAGTTAAAAACGTCAATACGTTCTCACCTCACCAGATAACAGGTGTATGATCTCGAATGTATGTTTCAGGATATTCATAGCCTTAACCTTCTTTCCATTGTTGCGTCCATGCATCATGAGAGAGCAACATACACGTTCCACCAAAGGGCATAATGCTTTCCGAAATCGCTTTATCTGATAACGTCCAGCTGTATGTGGGACTATTGGATTTCCCTTCCGTTTTATATTAATATAATCCTAAGAAACGTTAACTCTTTATGAGAAGATCCTACAGTCAAACTTAGGTCATTCACGTACACATCATCAGCGCTCCACTTCCCAAAGAGCTTAATCTCCTGCTCACCATCCATGTGGGTAATCACGCCTCACTGAATCCACAATCTAAAGCGCCACTTTGACCGTGTTATCAATTTAAACAAAAATTTTTTTAGTTGAGTAATACGGAAATCATCCCTAATCAACAAACTATAATGCAGCATCAAATAAGCTAACATCGCGTTTAAGTCGTGCTTTTTTCCTGAAGTATAGATGCTTTATGGAATGCTTTAACGCGAGATGTAGTTACAGCCCCCTTCACAGTCTCATTCAAAAAACAACTAGGCAGACAGGGCGTCTTGCATTTCTTATCATAAATGTTACTAGGGATTTACTAACCTTACTAGCCCTCCATCACTTTTTTTCTATTTACTACTCACTACCTCTTTTTGATACACCTACATTACCTAAACTACCCTGGCAACTATGTTCATGCTATCTACTTCCAATATACCTTTGCCCACTGTCTTGCTATTTTCATTCAGACAAATACAGGCAGGAATCACGATAAATCCCTAATCTTTCCGGTAACCCGTAGTCTCCTAACCACTCCACAAATTCCAATTGCTAACCCACAAAGTATTGACCTAACCGCAGCCAAAGGCAGGAAGACAGAGAAGATTCCCTTGTTCACAGAAGTGGCAGACCAAAAATACGAACCGAGCCCCAAGAAGTCTACGCAAGCGATAGAAATCTACAAGTTTTCCAGACCTGCACCATCACTGCCTTACGTTGTTGAAAATGAGGCAGTGTGTAGCGTCACACACTTCCCCGAAATCAACAGACTAGGTTCCAACGAGATTCAACACTGACGCTGACCTTGATAGTTTAACTGGACTCACTGAGTTGAAGGCACCCGGTCAAGCGTCCTCGCCATTTGGCACGCTGTCGTGTTACGTTGCGCCGCTCGTGTTCGACTCCCTAGCCAGTAAGTTGGAATGCATTGGTATCTTGGCACGACTTCACAAACATACTATTCCGTCCGACTACGCCAATGTGTTCTTTCTTGATCTCGTATTATTGGGTACATAACAAGCTCGAATAATTAGTGATTGGCCTTTGTGTCCGCCAATTTCACACCTGGAGAATTCCTAAATTGGCGAGCCTGACGTGATTACATATTGCGACCAATAACAAATCTTAAATTTGTGGGCCTGTTCCATTTTATACTTGCATGTTGTTTTCATTTCGATAACCTCCATATATCCATATACAACTCTGTCTTATGTCCGACCATACTCCCAAGCTTATCCGTATGAAGTCGACTACGAACACTAGCTAACTCATGCCATATTGGGCAGACAATGCAGAAATATGGTTTCTGTATGCCGAGGCATATTTTCAAGAACAGGGGGTCGCAGATCCCCATTCTCGGTTTCTTGTTGTCATACTTTTACTACCGCGGGAATTAAGCAGGCGTGTTACAGCACATTTGCTGGGTCCCGAAGTCAGTGATCCTTATGCGCTTCTCAAAGCTGCACTCCTGAAGGTGATCTCACAGGTCTCCAGCACCCAGACGAGTTGCTTCGTAACATCGGGCCAGGCAGATATTCAGCTACTGAAGTTCTCGCACATATGCGAGAAGTTATGGGCTCACGAACATTCGACAGTGGCCTTTTCCGAGAACTGTTTCTCTCGAAACCACCACGACCGGTGCAAATCGTGTTGGTGACACTTGAGTCAGTTCCACTCGATGACCTGGTAGCCTCAGCACATAAAATAATTGAGATCTCTGGCAGACCCGTCTCCAACGTATATTCTGTCCGCGATAAACCCGACAGCAAGTATTCAGAGGTGACCAAGCTGTGCAGCTCTGTTAAACAGTCGCTACGAACTCGAAGTCCTGGGTTACATTGCACTTCACAGAAACGTATTTTAATGCATCGCAGCAGCTCACGTGGTTGTCCAAAAACTAAATCTAATAGAGTGGAAAACCCGAAATGGTGCTGGTTTCATAATATTTACCAAGAAGTAGCCAGAAATTGCTGGAAGCCGTGGAGTTTCAACATGGACACAATCTCGGGAAATTGTCACGCAGGCACGTGTTCACGGCAACCGTAGCCGGCGGAAACAGCCGTTCGCTCTGCGTCACGGATATAAAAACGAAGACACCAGCCCATAAGTTAGCGTTCTTCCCGCACCGGCAGAGGAGAGTCATCGTGACCCATCCCTCAATCTCCAAGCTGCCAGCGGCAAGGCAATCGCGACATTTGAGAGACAGTATGCCTACCTCAACTCAGGTGTGCGCAAACCTATCCACTGGATTCGTTTCCTGGCTGACGTTTCTGTGCCCATCATTGGGATATATCTGCTAAACTACTACGATCTACTCGTAGATGCTCGCCGTCGACGACTGACAGATAACAGCACAAAGTTATCTATTGGCGGCACCACCTATGTAGGTCCGAGTTTAACCATCGTTAGGACTAAACAATCAGGCGACGCGTCCTACCAAGCAGTTCTGGAGAAATATCCAGAGTTGCAGCAACCGAAGCACACTCTTCCGTGCATAACTAGCAATGTTATGAATCACGTCACAACCACAGGTCCACCTGTGGCATCCAAAGCGCGCCGTTTAGCCCCCGATAAGCTCCAAACGGCGAAAAATGAATTCGACCACATGCTCGACCTGGGCATTATTAGACCGTCAAACAGTCCTTGGGCATCACCATTGTATGCGGTTCCCTAAAAGGATGGCAACAACTAGCGTCCAACCGGTGACTACCAAAAACTTGGCGACAAAACAACATCAGGCTGCTACCCGATACCTCACATTTACGACTTGACTGCGACGTTATGCGGAATGAACATTTTCTCCAAAATCGATTTGGTCAAAGCGTACAATCAGATAACTATGGCAGCTGAAGATATCGCGAAAACAGCCATTATTACTTCTTTTGTCCCGTTTGAATTCCTGCACATGCCATTTGGTCTTCGGAATGCAGCACAAACATTCCGACGCTTTATGGATGATGTCTTCCGTGGTTTGAATTTTGTTCACGTCTACATCGATGACTGTCTAATCGCGAGTCCAGATGAAGAAACTCACCTTAACCATTTAGACCTGTCATTCGAAAGACTAAAAGAACATAGCATCACAGTCAAATTGCAGAAATGTGGAGTGGGAGTTGAATCACTCAGCTTCCTTGGGCATACCATTGACAACAAAGATATACGCCCACTGAGAGATGAAGTGTCCGCTATCAAGAACTACCCAGGGCCGACCACTGTGAGGCAGCTCCGAACTTTCAATGGCCTGGTAAGTTACTACAGGAGGTTTATTCCCAAATGTGCCTCTGTCATGAGACCACTAGGAGATCTACCTCGGAGGTCTTCGAAGTTCGTGACTCTGGGCAACGTGGCTCGACTTGCTTACTCTAAAGCCAAGGAAGCCATTACAAACGCAACCATGCTCATGCATCACGACCCTAATGCTCCTTTGAGTATTGCTGCTGATGCATCTGACTCAGCAATTGGAGCAGTTTTGCAACAGTTGACTGACAACCAGTGGCAACCTTAAGCCCCTTCCTCGAGGCGGCTGCAAGATGCGGAAACAAGATACAGTACATTTGGTTGGGAACTCCTAGCTATGTACTGTCCGGTACGTCACTTTCAACATTCGGTGGAAGGCCGTGACTTCATTGTTTTCACAGGCCACAAACCGCTAACCTCCCCTCTTAGTTCGTCGTCTGATACATACTTCTTTCGTGAGTCACGACAACTGAATTACATTTCCCAGTTCACGTCAGACATCCACTGCATTTCGAAAGCAAATGACTCCGCAGCCGATGCACTATCTTGGATAGCTTCGATAAACCATATCGAGGGAGTTGACCTCGTTGAAAAAAGAAGACCATGAGCTGCGTCATGAGTTGTCGTCCGCAACTCTCAAGCAGTGAATGTGTCTGGTTGAATCAGACAAGGATGCAATTTTGTGCTATGTCTCTGCTAGTCAACCACGCCCAGTGGTTCCGAAGATATGTCGACGCAACGTCTTCAATACGTTGCACAAACCGTCCTGTCCAGATGCACGGGACGCCATCAGGCTTCTTGCACAACCTTTCGGCTGGCCTGGAATAAACGATGACGTTGAGGAGTGGGCTCAGCCGTGCTTAGCCTGTCAGTAGTGCAAAGTTGCGAGACACACGAAAAGCCCTTTAGGCTCTTTTCTAGCCCCAGACATGTGTTTCGACCACGTCCATAATGATACTGCAGGACCCCTACCAGAATCGAATAGATGTGCTTACTTTTTCACCTGAGTGGATCGTTTCACACGATGGCCGTAAGTAGTACTTAATAAGGATGTTACTGCTGAAACAGTTGCTCGTGTTTTCGTAGAAAGATGGATCGCGAACTTAGGACGTTCGTCTTATGTAACAACCCATGTGTAGGCGCCAATTTGAGTGTGGGTTATTTCGCTCTCTAACTGCGCTTTCAGATTCCACTCGGATCCGAGCGACAGCCTACCATCCACAGGCAAATGGCGTGGTAGAACGTTTCCGTCGACAGCTTAGAGCTTCCCCTTCAGCTGCAAACATACCTCAGTGGACCGAGGCTCCGCCTCTGGTCCTACTAGGTGTTCGTAACGCCTTGAAAGTTGATGCTGGACGCACCCCTGCGGAAATCGTCTATAAGACCACTCTTCGCCTATCAGGTGAATTTGTTTCCCCTTCAACTTTCAAACGTGTTTCCGACAGGTGACTAGGCTTACAAACGCGATGCGTTCAGTTAGACCTTCTCCAGTTAGAACTCAAACGACTGACGTCTTCGTTCACTCCAGTTTACAAAAGACATCACACGTGTTCATTCGCCACGACACTGTTCGTCGACCACCTGAACCACCTTAAGATGGGCCATTCAAAGTGATCAAGCAACATGAGAAATTATATGTAATCGGGCGGAACGGATGTGAAGACACGACTAGTATTGGCCGTTTGAAACCAGCTTATTTCGAAGGCAATCCCATCATAAGTGACGTTTCAGCTCGCCATAGCTGATTGGAAGATAGCCCAATCACCGAAATTCTTGAGGATGC